TATATATATATATATATATATATATATATATATATATATATATATATATATATATATATATATATATATATATATATATATATATATATATATATATATATATATATATATATATATATATATATATATATATATATATATATATATATATATATATATATATATATATATATATATATATATATATATACATATATATATATATATATATATATATATATATATATATATATATATATATATATATATATATATATATATATATATATATATATATATATATATATATATATATATATATATATATATATATATATATATATATATATATATATATATATATATATATTATTAACAATTAAATATATATATATATATATATATATATATATATATATATATATATAAATATATATATATATATATATATATATATACATATATATATATATATATATATATATATATATATATATATATATATATATATATATATATACATATATATAAATATATATACATATATATATACATATATATATATATATATATATATATATATATATATATATATAAATATATATATATATATACATATAAATGTACATATATATATATATATATATATATATATATATATATAAATATATATATATATATATATATATATATATATATATACATATATATATATATATATATATATATATATATATATATATATACATATATATATATATTAGGTTGGCCCTTAAAACAATTATATAAATATATATATATATATATATATATATATATATATATATATATATACATATATATATATATATATATATATATATAAATATATATATATATATATATATATACATATATATATATATTAGGTTGGCCCTTAAAACAATTATATATATATATATATATATATATATATATATATATATATATATATATATATATATATATATATATATATATATATATACATATATATATATATATATATATATATATATATATATATATATACATATATATATATATATATATATATATATATATATATATATATATATATATATATATATATATATATATATATATATATATATATATATATATATATATTAGGTTGGCCCTTAAAACAATTTTTTCGAGAAAAACCTGCTTCCACCCCACCCCACCCTTGTTCTATCTATTACAAAAATTAAAATTTCAAAAACTAGTCAAGCCCAATCCAAAAAAAAATACAACCTAACGTCGTCAACTTATCAACTAAACACCTGACAACATATCTCAAACGTCACTTTTTACAAAAGGTCCAAAGTTTTGCCCTACTACTAAAGGAAATATTTTACACATTGATTCTGATATAAAACAATTCACACGGAAGCTAATACATAAAAAATTTTTTCATGAAACGGAGAATACAGATATAAGCATAATTAAAAAAAAGTCAAATTCTAATATCAAAACAACTCTACCATATCTTGATGAAATCATTTCAAAAATTGAACAAATTAAACCTATCAAAATGCAGTCACTTGATTACATTACTCAACAAGAAAGGATAGCATTAAAAGATTTAAAAGAAAAGAAAAATATAGTTATTAAAAAAGCAGACAAGGGAATCACTTTTATTGTAATGGATTCAACTTATGATAATGAAAAACTAGTTCATCAAGACACCTGCTCTCCGCAAATACTTATGAAAGGACAAAACCTGAATCAGATAAAATAGTTTTTAGAGATTTAATAAAAATGATAGGAAAATATAATTTTCTAACAAAAAACGAAATAAAATACATCACAAATTTTAAATGGAAATTTAGTAGTTTCTATATAACTTCGATAATTCTTAAATGTCAAGAAATTATAGACAAAGTAAACGCATCTAATTCACTTTATATCGAAATGAAACTACCAAATGATCTTAAAGGTAGACCAATTATTGCTAGAATTAACTCACCAACATCACATTTAAGCCAGTTCTTACATATAATTTGCCTCCAATTGTAACAAAACAAAACACTTTCATTAAAGATGATTCGGATTTCTTAAGAAAGATACCAAGAGCGTTAAATTCGGATATATGTTTTTTGACTTGTGACATTGTTAATCTATATACTAGTATTCCACACAATCTAGGTATAGAAGCATTAAAGTACTGGATTGAAAAACATAAAAGTTTAATAGATAAAAAAGATTTACTCCTGAATTTATCATTGAATCAACAAACTTTGTGTTAAAAAACAGCAACTTTCTATTCAACGACCAAATGTTTCGGCAAATTATTGGAACAGCCATGGGTATGAATTTCGCTCCAGATTATGCATGCCTAACAATTGGATGTTTAGAAAAAATAAGACTTTTTCCTAAAATTTTACCTAAATACTTTTCCAGTAAAGATGTAAATGAAATACAGGAATTTTATTATAGATACATTGATGATGGTTTCTTAATCTGGCCAAAACATTTAGATATCCTTAAGTTTAAAAACTCTTTGACCGAAATAGATAGTTCAATCAGTTTTACAACAGACATGGGCAAAGAATTTATAATAAATGGAAATACTTATAATATTATTAATTTCTTAGACATATCTATCATTTTTAAAAACAACAGAAAAATAAAAACGGATGTTTATTATAAAGAAACCAATACTCACGACTACTTAGACTACAACAGCCATCATACTTATCATATAAAAAAGAACATCCCTTATGGCCTTGCTAAAAGAATAATTGTTTTTACATCTGATTATAATACAGAAAAATAGCGTTTAGCAGAACTAAAAACGTGGCTAAAAGAATACAAATATCCTAATAACATTATTGAAAAAGCATTTCACAACGCAAAACTCCAAGGACCAGCACCCCAAAATCAATCAGAAGAAATTTTTCCTTTTGTTACAACTTTTTACAGCAATCTGAACTGTCAACCTTTTATTACTGAAACAAATCTTTTGCTTAATCTATCTTCAAATGAAAGAGTGAAGGAAGTTTTTTCTAATGTCCAACCAGTAATTGCGTATAAACAACCACCCAATCTACTGAGAACACTTACTTCTTCAAAAATTCAATCAACCACTAAAAAAGTAGGGTTATTTAAATGTAATGATAATCGTTGCAAAATATGTAAATTCTACCTTCAAGAAGTTAAATCATTTACGACATCAAATGGTACTATATGGAACATAAAAAGCCATATTACTTGTAATAGTAAGAATGTAATATATTAAAAATTGTATAAATTAATAATACTATATATTATAATTTATGAAATTATAATTAACTACTGTATTTAAAAAATTTTTCCTTTTTTTTTTATAAAATCTAAATGTAATTAAACATTTAGATTTAATTTAACGATACAGTTTATCTAATTTTTTGGAATTTTTTTTTTATTATTCACCTCCCCATGGCCCGAGAGAGCTACTACAGTCGAGGGAGCTACTCATTTTATTTTTTTTATTAGTTCTATTAATCTGTTAATTATTATTATTTAAAAAATAGCACACTAACCATTCATGTAGTCCAGATCATTAGTGTACACTAACCATTAGTGTAGTCATATATATGAATATAGTCTAGATTAAAAGAATTATTTGGACTAAAGTTTAAAGCTATAGGATAACCTATGGCTTTAAACTTGC